GGCTAGGGTCACAGTCCACAGTATCGAGCTTCATGTGTTTTGTGATGCCAGCGAAGTGGCTTATTCAGCCTCTGCCTACCTCAGAATAACAGACTATGAAGGTGGCGTTCACTGCAAGTTTGTAATGGGAAAATGTCGCAACTCACCGATAAAACGACCAACTGTACCTAGATTAGAGCTACTGGCGAGTGTAATGGCTGTTCGACTAAGCAACCTGATACAATCGGAAATGGACTGGGTTATGAAGAACGTGACCTTTTGGACAGATTCGACAACTGTGTTACAGTACATTTACAATGAGAATAGACGATTCCACCGGTTTGTTGCTACACGCCTCGAGGAGATTCACGAGCACACCAAGCCTGAGCAGTGGCGTTATGTTCCAGGGAAACAAAATCCAGCTGACGACGGATCAAGAGGTCTGCCGGGAGAAGCTCTCCAATCCAAATGTCGTTGGTGGTCAGGCCCTGAATTCCTGATTGAAGATGCGAATAAATGGCCCGAATTGAAGATTGCTGAGGTTCCGGTGGACGACCAAGAAGTTCTGAAGAATCGAGTTTGTCAAACCACGTCTACCTCGGATACAGCCTTCTCTCAATTACTTAATTGCTTATCATCCTGGTCGAAGTTACAAAAATGTGTTTCCTGGTTGATCCGATTTGTGGAATTCATTCAAAATCATTCAACATTTCACCCTTCGTCAACACAGATTACCTTGCTTGAAATACAAAATGCTGCTCGTTTGATCGTGAAATTCGTCCAGAAAGAATATTTCCGAGATGAGCTTCTAGCCTTGAAGACGAACAAGAGAATCAAGTCAAACAGCAGATTGGTGAATCTCTGTCCTGTGATGAAGAAAGGAGTTTTGTGCGTTGGTGGTCGATTGAGACATGCGCCGATAACATCCGAATCTACTAACCCGATGATAGTCCCCAACCAACATCACATCGCGGAAATGATCATCTCTTATTACCATCATGTTTCGGGACATTCCGGTCGTGAGCATGTGTTATCCTTAGTACGACAGCGTTATTGGATCCTAAACGCCCGTGCGTTAACTCGTCAGATTCTCCGTCGATGTGTAAGTTGCCGGAAGCGAAATGCAGCACCTATGACTCAAATGATGGGTGAACTTCCCGCTGCCAGAGTGACACCATACGATCCGCCCTTTACATTCACTGGATTGGACATCTTTGGTCCATTCCTTGTCAAGCGTGGACGTGGTTCCCAAAAGATATATGGCTATATCTTTGTCTGTTTCGTAACAAGAGCTGTTCATATCGAAGATGTCGATTCATTGGAAACGGACTCCTTCATACAAGCACTCAGGCGTTTTGTTTCGTTGCGTGGCGCTGTTAAAGAGATATGGAGCGACAACGGAACGAATTTCATTGGAGCAGAGAAAGAGTTAAGATTGGCAAAGCAAGCGTGGAACCAAAGAGCCATAATCGAATACACACACGAGAAAGGAGTAGAGTGGTATTTTCAACCTTTTAACAGATGGCATTTTCAACCTCCAACCGCGAGTCATATGTCCGGGGTATGGGAACGACTAATTCGAAGTGTACGGAGAACTATGAAGGGCATTCTTGGACATCCACATGCCTTTATAGAACGGGACACACTACGCACTCTCTTTGCCGAAGTCGCCGGTATCCTCAACACACGCCCTTTATGCTCGAGTAGTGACAACCCCAATGACCTGGAAGCATTAACACCGAGTCATTTCCTTCAACAACGACAAGGATTGGCTATACCACCAGGCATATTTGAAAATTCGGAAATCTCTTCCCGCAAGCAATGGAAAAGAGGACAAGTATTGGCAAATCACTTCTGGACTCGGTGGATTCGGGAGTACCTTCCTTTACTACAGCAAAGAAGGAAATGGTTGACGCCCAAAAGAAATTTAAACGTCAACGATCTCGTTCTTGTGGTTGACGCAATTCAACCCAGAAGTCACTGGAGTCTTGGACGTGTAATCAAGGTATTCCCAGGTAATGATGGTCTGGTGCGAACAGCAGAGGTGAGAACAAAGTCGACAACGCTAGTGAGACCTGTTACGAAGCTTTGTCTCTTGGAAACTAATCCTTAAATTAAATATTGAACGATTTGCGAACCGTTCAACGGGGGGACCATGTTGAGGCGCCCTCAATATATCGTGTGACTTTACAAATTAATTGTCAATAATCTGCATGCATTAGCATAACAGTGTAAATTGGCCAGCGTTAACAGGAGAAGAACAGTTGAACTTTGCACCCTCGAAGGAACGATCTGAGGGTGCGGCAATCAGACAGAAGAATCTTAGGGTTAATTTTCGCTACTTTATAGTCTAGTTGTTTCTATCAATGTACCTCGACATTTGGTAAGTTTGTACTAATGTATTAGTGTATTCAATTAATGTTAAAATGCGTAATTTGTAAAAGCGCCTATTAGTAATATGTTGTAATCTGTTGTCAGAATAAAACCACTATCAATCGAGTCACATTCAAGTCGAGAATACATTCCAATCTTTGCATCAAAGAGTACGGGCCGTGCCAGTACATATATATTACTTGAAAATAGGGACTTAATGTTTTTCTCAAGGTCACCTGTTTAGTGAGGAAGATGCACTTGCAAGGCAGAGAGGCTCTTGCTTTTCGGTGGTCCAACTTAGGAAACGTGGGAATGGCAAAATCCGAGTTGTTTAGAAAATTTAATGCATTTAAAGACAAATGCAAAGTGTCCGATTCAAGGGAATTTCTTCAGGAAGATGGTACAATGAAAGGTGTGAGCTGCACAGTTGCGTTGACATCAGCGTTGCCAGAGAAAATATTAAAATCATTAAAAAGAGGTACAACGAAATAATTGTTAAGCCCGATGTTGTGTGCATTTAATTGAACTAAATAATGACCGAAGAAGATTGTTTTTGGTAGAAAGGATTCCTTTTTACTCTCATTAGTAAATCCTAATCAGGCAAAAATTTTATTTTTTCAGTTATTCCAGATTTTCGTACCGAGCAAGATAACGAAGATGACGACAGCAGTTTAGAGGGAATTAATGACGATGGATCCAACGATTTAATAATAAATATTTCAGAAGTAGTAGCTCAGATGGATAACGCTAACAGCGATTCGAACGATCAAGTGAAAAAGCCCGAAGCCAACGACCTGAAGAGTCAAACAACTGAAGAGTCCAACGATATTACCAATATTCCTGACGGCGGTTTGGGGAGTAATGCAGACGGCGAATCGAACGATGAAGTAAAAAAGCCTGAAGCCAACGACCTGAAGAGTAACACAACAAAAGAGTCCAACGTTGTTACAAATATATCTGCTGGCACATGTTTACTAGATAGCGGAGTCTTAAATGATGCAGTCAGCAAAGCAGGAAGCAAAACAAAAACAACTAATACCAAAAGAAAAGTCGGAGGGAAAAGAAAAGCCTTAAAAAGACAATCTGAAATAAACACATTGAAGGACTCATCTCTGTGAATGAGAAAATTCCAGAAGGAAAAAAGAGGCGAGATAAATAAATTAGCTAGTGGAAAAAATTCACTCTTATATTTCTCAAATTATCTTTAAAATTGATAGCAAGAACTTCATTTAATTATTCCTTAGTGTTTATTTTTGTAATATAATAAAGTTGGACAATTTTTGGAATTAAAAATTATATAATTGAACCTGAATCAAATTTCCAGTGCGAATATAGTTATACACCTTTTCATTAAAACGTGGTATACAATCAAAAATAGGCAAAGCACTTTTCGGCGTTACAACAAAAGGTCTTTCGCAATACTAGCCCTCCATGCAGACAAAGACCTTTAGAAGTTATTCAAAGACCAAAACGTTTAACCGTTTCGTCAGCACATCTCAGTTATAGCTAACAACCATTGAGCCAACTGAAGAGAGTAAAACATTTGAAGTCGCTGAAGTCGCTGTCAGTCTCGTATATATATAGCCCTTTGTATATAAGTCTTAAATAAGAACGTATAATTTATATTGTAGATTCAAACGGGCTTAACTTTTCCACGGTTTTCTTAAAATTTTAGGTGGGACATTTTCACTGAAAAAAAGTTGCCCGTCTCGTATCTTTTTGCGTTTGATCCTAAAAGTTATCTTATCAATAAATAGGCTTGTTACGTTTCAATTATTCAATATTTGGTATTCAAAGGCGAAACTCAAAAATACAATAAATGGTCTGGTATACCAATACAGAAAAATCTGATGAACAGCTATTTGTATATCCAGGGCTACTTTTGCCTTTGAGCCTTTAATTGCCTGAATTATCGACATGACTAGGTAAGGCTTTTAACAATAACATAAACTTACAAAAATCAATCATGCATTCCGCGTAGCCTCTTCTCCTGGAGCTCAAGGAGTGAGGACATGCAGCATGCACCTCCTCCACCGCAGTCCGCAGGGGAGAACATTGCTAGTATTCGGATCTAAAATCAACTATAGACATGCACATTTCTAAAGGTGGCCACTTGATTAGGGCTTGCAAGAACCTGAACCCCAATATTAACAAATAAATTTAATTAATAGTACAGAATTTCATATATCTCAATAGCTTTCCTTGACAAATGACAACACTACACTCGATATGGTACGACAAGCCACTAATTGCCGCTTAACTGAAAAGGCGCTGGAATTGAAACCATAAAAAGTCAAAATGTATGCGTCATTGCATTGTAATTTCGCTGAATAAACCTTTTCGATTATCACCAAATATCATTGTTTTCAAATTAAGTCCGCTATCGTAAATGGCTTAAATTACCTAGATACCGGAAGTGGTTACTCCGATAGAATCAGGATGTTGCCCTTGAAAATGATACTGTGTCCAAATGCATTACCTAAGTGACATTGATATAAAAAATAGCTGTGCCTACTTCATATAGCAATTACCTGTTCATGTAAAAAGGATGGTATTTCTAGACAGTTTAAAACTGTGTGCAGTGTTGTTTCCACGGGAAACACGGAACGAGTGTCAGTATTTCACATGCAGTAATATTCTGTTTTCAATTAAATTGGAATTATTTTTACAATAACGCTCATGGTACCAATAACACCTATAACACCAATAACGCCAATAACACCAACAACGCAAATAACGCCTATAACGCCAATAACGCCTATAACGCCAATAACACCTATAACGCCCATAACACCAATAACGCCTATAACGCTAATAACACCTATAACACCAAAAACGCTCCTAACACCAATAACGCCAATAATGCCAATTTCACCAATAACGCTCATAACACCTATAACGCCAATAACACCTATAACGCCAATAACACCAAAAACGCTTTTTCAAAACCGTGCAGCCCGAATCATAACCGGTGCGAGTTACGACGTTAGATCTGCTGATGTTCTTCAATCTCTTGATTGGGACAACTTAGAGACAAGACGACGTACTAGTAAATCAATACTAATATACAAAGTCTTGAACAACTACGTAGGTCACACGTTGAAAGAAACCTTGATTAGACGCAATCAAATGCAAACTAACTATGAACTTAGAAATAGTCTTACAGATCAGGCTCTTCCTAAGCCCAAAAGAGAATTTTTAAAAAAGAACTTTAAATATAGTGGAGCTAAGTTATGGAATAGTCTCCCTATCAACACCAGACAGGCTGAGTCCATTCATGCATTCAAAAGCCAGCTGAAACGTAACTCCAACCTTACGAATATATTCTAACACATTTTAACTATAATATCTGGGGTCACACCAACTTGTATATAGTCCTTATTTCCCTATATTTTTGTAATTTTTAATCTTGTAGACGCCCCCCATGGAAATCAACTTATTGTTGTCGGGGGTTGTGTCTTTAAATAAAGTTTTACATACATACATACATACGCTCATAACACCAATAACGCCTATAACGCCAATAACGCAAATAACGCCAATAACGCAAATAACGCCAATAACACCTATAACACCAAAAACGCTCATGACACCAATAACGCCTATAACGCAAATAACGCCTATAACGCCTATGACACCAATAACGCCTATGACACCAATAACGCCAATAACGCAAATAACACCAATAATGCCAATAACGCAAATAACACCAATAACGCCTAAAACGCCCATAACGCCAATAACGTCAATAACACCAATAACGCTCATAACACCAATAACGCCTATAACACCAATAACGCCTATAACGCCTATAACACCAATAACGCCAATAACACCAACAACGCAAATAACGCCAATAACATCAATAACGCTCATAACACCAATAACGCCTATAACACCAATAACACCTATAACACCAATAACGCCTATAACACCAATAACGCCTATAACGCCTATAACATCAATAACGCCAATAACACCAATAACGCTCATAACACCAATAACGCCTATAACACCAATAACACCTATAACGCCTATAACACCAATAACGCCTATAACGCCAACAACGCCAATAACACCAATAACGCTCATAACACCAATAACGCTTATAACACCAATAACGCCTATAACACCTATAACGCCTATAACGCCTATAACACCAATAACGCCTATAACGCCTATAACGCTCATAACGCCAATAACACCAATAACGCCAATAACGGACACCGCAGAAATTGGTGTTTAAGACGTTTCAACCCGAAAATCTAATCGCTGGTTCACAATTGTGCATTCCTGTACCGCTATCAAAGAGAAACCTTTTGAATATCTTAAAAAAAGTTCAATATATCTTTTGAATACGCATTCTGCAATCTTTTGACTGCTCATCGAACACATCTGACCGCTGTGAAATGGCCATTTTGAGGCTTAAAGTATACACAAGGTTATTAATTCAGACGATTCGTTTTTACCGTGTGCAAGCTTCAAATATTTTGTGCAAGACATATTTTCTTGAATATTTATAAATCTTTTTTCTCACCAAGTTTGAAGTCTAAGTATTGAGAATTGCGGCTAAGTCTATACCAATTTCCGCGGTGTCCCAATAACGTCAATAACACCAACAACGCAAATAACGCCAATAACACCAATAACGCCTATAACACCTATAATGCCTATAACACACATAGCGTCAATAACGTTTATAATGCATACGTATATATAGAGCTATAATATAATACCAGTGAAGTTTATATGACGTCATATAATATATAGCTGATTACGTAATATTCATATATTCGTGCGCGAAACATAACGATATAACCTATATATACACATATATACACACATATATACACACGTATATATACACACGTATTTACAGACATATATACACACACACATACATACATATATATATATATATATAATATATATATATATATATATATATATATATATATATATTTATGTGCATGTGTACGTGTGTGCGTGTGTATCTGTATATGTATACGTATGTGTATGTGTATGTGTATGTGTATACGTATATATGTATGTGTGTGTGTATGTGTGTGTGTGTTTATGTGTATGGGTATGGGTATGTGTGTGTGTGTGTGTGTATGTGTGTGTGTGTGTGTATATGTGTGTATATATATGTGTGTATATATATGTGTGTATATGTACATATACCCATAAAAGATTTCAAGGTCGGCATTTATATCTTATTCTTTCATGTTTGACAACCTGTTTTATAACGATATGAGTGCTGGGAACATTGGTTTCAATAGGAAAACTGATGGTAAATGGATAAAAGTTTGAAAATGCTTGTTCTGTGTGTTAGGGAGAGATTAGAAAGTTCTTCATTGGTGATTCACCAGCGGGGAATCTTTTAAGGAAGTGAGTGGAATTTTTGTTGAATTAAAACAATGTTATGAAAAAGCAGGGACAAGGTTACAAGGCATAATCATAGCTAACTGTTGTGAATGGAAAGGGTTATTTAAACAGATTTTCCAGATGTAACTGTTAAGTTAGATCTTTTTCATGCGGTACAGCGATTTGTTAAGACGATCCCAATGGTTGTGAGATTGAAAACGGATATTTGTAGAGCGTACGGTTTTTTCCAGACAAACAAGATCGGCATGGATACAGCTTATATAAGATGTACAATCATGGAAATAATATACATAGACTTTTTATTATCAACGTTTCGCAATCTACTTTACAGTGATAAATGACCAAAATATACAATGTAATACGAGCGTAAGATATCCCCCTCCCCCCCAAGTACAATGTTGATCAAGACATGGAACATGGAAGCGATTTCACTTAAAAATCAACATTGTATGTGGGGAGAGGGGGCGAAATGACACTTTGTCTACGAATTAATTTCCATGATTGTCTGTAAAAAGTCGTAAATTGGTCATTTTGTGCCAAGCAACGAAAGGCATTATACGTGAGTTATCTAATTTTAACTGCTAAACTTACTCAACATTTTGTTCTTGTAACGGTCTACTGCTATATTACAATCTATAATTTAGGTGGGGGAGGGGGCGGCCAGGGGGGGGGTGTTATATAAGAATTATATGCTGAATTATGTCTTATGTTGGCATTGTATGCTATTGTCTTTCAAACTGTAGATGATTTTACAAGTTTTTTAATTAGATTAACGTAGTGGAATGAAAATCATTTTTGAAGGGGTGTATCTTTAAATAATTGGGGGGGGAAGGGTTCAACAAAATTTTGAATATTACCATTAAATTTTATATTATTTTTAACTATGGATAAATGACCATGTGACTGTATTGGCTAAATTTTTGGGTTCTGTAAGTTTCAATTAATCATAGAAAATGCGGATATATGCATTTGTATGGTTCTCCAATTAATTTCTGTATGGAAATATTTTGAATCATAAAATCGTATAGATTAACTAAGAGAGGCGTCCAACGAAAACTGTCAACAGCATGGCCGTAACGTTTAGTCAATATATTTTGTGTACATCAAATTCTGCGTTGTTGATAGAACTAATCCTTTTATTGTTTAAGATGATGAATAAAATTTCGCCAGAGCATTCTGCCCAAATTAGAGCTGTATACCAGTTGTCTAATATTAGAGGTAAGAAGCTTTTGCAAATGTTTCCACAATATTCTAAGGCGGCAATATACAAACATGCAAAAAAACCATTGAATGGTGAGCCAGTTTTTGATAGGAGGAAAATGAATCAAGGCAGACCAAAAAAGTTGTCGGTTCAAGATGAACGGAACATACTTCGTACAATTCCAAAACTACGTGAAGAATTGGGAAACTTTACATCTAAAAGAGTTCAGTTAGAAAGTGGTGTCACACATGTTAGTAACAGAACGGTTAGAAATGTATTGAATAAAGATGGTTACCGATATCTAACATCAAGAAAGAAAGGTTTGCTGCATGCAGGTGATCTAAAAATGAGAAAAAAATTCTGCCAGAAGATCAGAAGTAAGAAACTTAGTCAAAAGTTCTGGACCGAAGGAATCTCTTTCTATTTGGATGGTAAAGGATTTCAATACAAGAGCAACCCTAATGATCAAGCGAGGGCACCCCGTGCTCGCATATGGAGAAGACGCTGCGAGGGTTTAAAGTTCCGATGCACTGCAAAAGGTCAAAAAGAAGGTGCCACTAATGTTAATTTTATGATAGTTATAGCTTACGGCAAAGGCGTTGTTCTCTGTGAGCAGTATGAAGGGACGATCACAGGTGAGCTGTTTGCAGCAATGGTAAAAGTATATATATATACTTTTTATAAAGTAGCAGTAACATGTAGTAACATGTGAAAATATATAATAATATATACAATATTTATAGTAACATGTACAGTAACATCATGTACAGTAACATGTGGTAACATGTAGAAATTTATTACAAAGATTACAACAATCGCAGTAAGATAATGTTATGCAGTAATAATATCTTATATATAAAGTAAAGTAATGTACAAAGTGACATGTTCAATTCAGCAGCTAAAGCGTGGAACGTTTAACACTGTTTAATTTAAGTCTCCCGTAAGTGCGAGTGTGGCGAAACAATGTGGACACGGAGATACCTTCTTATCTTCGTAATTTGATGATTAAATTGGAACACTTTCCATCGTGAGGACATCATATCATCTTTAACTTTATGTTGTGTGTTATATGTTCCTCTGTATTTAATGATATCCTTCGATGTAGCAAATATTGGAATGTCTGTCTTGATACAAACATCGGTTGCGTAATGATTCTTAGGAGCTGGAAGATTCACCAAATCACCTTCAAGGAGCAGCAAGAGACTCTTCCACTCGATCAAGTCTTTTGTCCAGCGAAAATCGTTGAGTAAAATCACTTCGCACTTGTCCGCTCCTACCCATGCATACCTATCAGCTGCAGGATTGGAAAAGACATTGAATAACATCTCGAGGGGTTTGAACATGAATGTCTTGCCACAATTAGTCGGGCCGACAATGATGAGGTTTCTGTACTTCCCTCTTCCCAGCAGTAACAGATCTCTTACTGTGGCCGCGTACATAACTGGGTGAATTTTGTTGTTATATAATACTTCTTTGGCACATCGCAGCCACAATCCCTCACAGTTTTCAACACAGTCTCCCAAAGCTGCTTCGCGTATCACATCCATTCGGGATGATTTTTGTCTCATCAAAATTTTTGGTGCTTCATTCATTCTCCAGGTTTGGCTAATAAGTTCGTCAAGACACCTTGATGGGCGAGAAAGGACGAAATGTGCCAAATCCTTTTTCCCTTCTTCTTTTTGGTCATTAGCAACTGCAAGTAGTGCAGTTTGATCTTTGATTTGATGCTTTACAATAAACTCTGACACATCGACGTTTGAGAGCCTTTTGCGTTTCTTGTTAGGAGGCTCCTGCTTGCTCTGAGAACTACTTGTCGCAGTTTCACGGCTTGAACGCCTGGCACGATACGCACGTTGGCAGTTCTTCGTTTTGGGAGATCCAACTTCTTGCATGTTGGGATGATTTTCACTATGGTACACATTGTCGTCATGCTTGGTAATGTATTTGTACGCTGTGTAATATCCATCGTGATCTGAGAAATGGACTGATATTCCATGCTTTGTTTGCAGAGCACGTTTGCATTCTAACCACTTCTTGGGACCGGTCAGTTTCAAAGCTACGTGGTAGTGAAAACCATCGTCGGCGTGTTTCTCTAAGCAACATGCCCAGTGTTGTGGTGTTACTTTACTTCGTAATGAAACAAACGCTTCAGCGACAGCCGCCCCGAATGATTGTCTAG